GTAGCCGGTCGTGGTGGCAAACGCCTGTAATCCCAGCTACTGGGGAGGCTGAGGCAGGAGAATCACTTGAACCTGGCAGAGGTTGTGGTGAGCTGAGATCGGGCCATTGCGCTCCAGCCTGGGCAAAAAGGGTGAAACTCCGTCTCAAAAAAAAACAAAACAAACCAAAACAAAAAAAACACCCAAAAAACAAACAAAAAAAACCCCAAAAAAACAAAAGTGCAAATCAAACTCCTAGGTTTCTTCTCCAAACCTTCTTCACCTGTGGCCCTTTCATCTCAGTAAATGGAAATTCCATTCCTTCAGTTGTTTAGACTAAAAACCTTAGTATTATCCCTGATTGTTCTCTTTCTCTCCCACTCTACATCGAATGAGCAATTTCCATTTAAAATATGTTAGGGCCAGGTGTGATGGCTCACGCCTGTAATCCCAGCACTTTGGATGGCCAAGGCAGGAGGATTCCTTGAGTCCAGGAGTTCAGGACCAGCCTGAGCAACATAACAAGACCCCAGTCTCTGTGGGGAAAAAAAAAAAAAAATTAGCTGAGCATGCTTGTTGTCCTAGCTACTTGGGAGGCTGAGGAGGGAGGATCACTTGAGCCCAGGAGGCTGAGGTTGCAGTGAGCAGTGATTACACCACTGAACTCTAGCCTGGGTGATAGAATGAGACCCTGTCTTAAACAAAAAAGAAAAAAAGTCTAACATTTGACTATTTGCCACGACCTTCACCATTTCACCATGGTCCAAGCCACCCTCATCTCTCATCTACATTATTGCAATACCCCCCTAAGTTATTTCCTGGCTAGTTCCATGACAGTCTACTTTTTTTTGAGGCAGGGTCTTGCTCTGCCTCCCAGACTGGAGTGCAGTGGCATGATCTGGGCTCACTGCAGCCTCCTGAGTTCAAGCAATTCTCGTGCCTCAGCCTCCCAAGTAGCTGGGACTATAGGCATGCACCACCATGCCCAGCTAAATTTTGTATTTTTAGTAGAGATGGGGTTTCACCATGTTGCCCAGGCTGGTCTCGAACTCCTGACCTCAAGTGATCTGCCCCCCCCTCAGCCTCCCAAAGTGCTGTGATTACAGGCGTGAACCACCACTCCTGGCCTCTACTTTTTTTTTTTTTTTTGAGAGAGGGAGTCTTGCTCTGTGGCCCAGGCTGGAGTGCAGTGGCTGCGATCTTGGCTCGCTGCAACTTCCGCCTCCCAGGTTCAAGCAATTCTCCTGCCTCAGCCTCCCAAGTAGCTGGGACTACAGGCATGCACCACCACACCTGGCTAATTTTTGTGTTTTTAGTAGAGACGGGGTTTCACCATGTTGGCCAGGATGGTCTCGATCTCTTGACCTCGTGATCCTCCCGCCTCAGCCTCCCAAACTGCTGGGATTACAGGTGTGAGCCACCGCGCCCAACTGGCCTCTACTCTTAATATACTGGGTAGATTGATCCTTTTAAAACATAAATCAAGGACCCGGCGCAGTGGCTCACACCTGTAATCCCAGCACCTGGGAGGCCAAGACGGGTGGATGACGAGGTCAGGAGTTCAAGACCAGCATGGTCAACAGGGTGAAACCCTGTCTCTACTAAAAATACAAAAATTAGCCGGGCATGGTGGCAGGCGCCTATAGTCCCAGCT